TATTTTTCTTACTTTGCGATGGATTGTTTCCACCTGGTGCACCTTCTAAAAGCGTTCAGTAATGTAAGGTGTGACCTGATTGTAATTAGCTGCAACGTTTACGCTAAACACTTCATAACCTAAAATGGCTAGCACAAAAAACTCGGGCCATGTTGCATTTTTCACAATTCGCAAATTACAAAAGCAAAATTGAAATTTAGACGGCAACACTAAAACACGTGTTGGTATTTTAAAGTAATACTGTAAGTTGAATGCACTTTGATCGCTGGTCTCCGAATGAAATCCACCTCTAAAAATAAAAGAAGCGTCCTTTGAATAAATTATAGCTTCAATTTGGCTCAGCGCCAGTCCACTTTTTGAGAAGGCACAATCCTGATAGTTTCAGGAGGCAATTCCAATTTGCAGGAATTAATGGGGGTAAGCATTTCTAAATTTGAAATTTCCAAATGCATTTGTAGAAATCTTGATTTTTGAAGTTGGTCTTAACAACTTGATTAATACATGCGAATCATTTTTCACGTTATGTGCTTGACTTTACAAACTGCTGTCATTGTCAGGTATTTCAGCATTTCGCGTGGTTGGGTGGCCTTAAGCATTGCACTTATTGTGCTTTTGAACAACCAGCCACCTCAAGTGGGTGGTGAATTTCTGTTACACGTAATGAATACGGAATGCCTCACTTGCTCTCTTTCCAACTTTACCTTGTCCGTCTCTAACCTTACCTTCTGTCGTTTTTTTTAGTGACTTCTACCCATCGCGGGTCTTGCCTACTTCCTCATCGTTCATGTTTTATCGTTTGCTTCTACTTTCAAGTCACCCTCTCCAGTACAGGAAATGACACGGTTCAATAGTTTATGCCCTAGACCATAGTAGCCGCAGACAAAGTTAACTAGACCGAATCAAGCTAAATTAATGACCGCATCTTTATTTAATCTAGCTTAGATTAGCCCGCCATGCCCTGTCAAATGTTGGCCCAGAGTTCTCATATAGCATTTCCTGTTTTCTTACTGCCACCTTAGGTTGTTGTGCACCACTCTCCTCAGATCTGCCTCCTCCTACCCCTATTCCCCCTTTTCCTCCTCCATTCATTTCTCAAAAGCTGGGGTGAGCACGTTGCTCCTAGATCTTACTTTGTCGACTGTGCAAAAGTTTGCAACTGACTAGGCGGTTTCATGACCTTTAGGA